ATTGAATTGAAAACCACACACAAAAAAGGTTTCAATCAAATTATAAATTGTTAGCATGATTACATTAGTTATCTTATTCGAATAATGCTAATACTTGTAAATATTATCAGGTATTCATGATTATAACTTATGTTAACAACAAATCAAGTTCCTTTCATAGCACAAGTGTTGGTTAAACCATACAGTTGAGCTGTGAAAGTGTCAAGTATTTGTTGTACCTAGTGTTATACAATATAAAACTAGATTAACCATTTAACAAGTAAAGTATTAATAGTGAAGAAGATAACAAATACAAAACATGTTAGTATGAAACGTTAAAGTTCATGTTGAGTTTACACTATACTTATTCTTACACCATTAATGTAGCTTTTTCACCTTGACATAATAAACTTAGCTAAACATAATGAAAGAGAGAAACATAAATAGATAAGATAAGAACATAAATAAAATAAAAGTTAATTAAATAAATAAATAAGATAAGAACATACAATATTTATGAGATGCTATGTATAAAACTAGATGTATCTTATGCTTTGTATAGAATGAGTAGATACCAATTTATTTCAGGTAAGAGTTACTAAAAGATAGTTAAAAATATTATTAAAGTACTAAAAAAGAATTAAAAATGTCTTTTCGATCTATGGAAAACATGAAATCTAACTTTATGGTTACTTAAATGCTAGTTTTTAATTATTGATGATAACAAATCTCAATCAGGATATATTTTTACTCTAAATGGTGGTGATGTGAGTTAAAAAAAGTACTAAATAAGAGATCATAATAGATTTTTCCAACTGAAGTTGAATACATATCTACATCTAATGTGATAAAAGATGTTGTTTGGGTTAAAAAGTTCATCATTAAACTAAGTATAGTTCTTATCACTGTTGATCCAATAGCCCTGTATTGTTATAACAATAGAGTCATTATACAAGCAAAGGAACCAAGATCTCATCAAAGATCTAAACATGCACTTAAATTATTCTATTTGATTACAAAAATCATAAAGAGGAAAGATATAAAGATAGAACGAGTACCATCTAAAACTAATGTTATAGATCCTCTCACTAAGACACTTTGTCAACAGAAGTATGATCACAATATAGAGGGATATGATATTAGATGTTGAGTGAATATATCTTCTAGCAAATTAGTTGGTTATATATAACACTGATTTTATTCATGTAAAACATATTATAAAGGCTTTCTTTATTTTTAATCTTCATTATATTTGATTAATAAATATAAAGTAAAGATAAAGTTCATGGAAGAAAAATTATTTACAATGAAATTATATAGTTGTTATAATTATGAGATTTGTATTAAATTAAAACATTATTCTTAAATATTCATGGTCAATATTCTATTAAGATTTAACACCAATTATATTTGTTGATACCAAAGCATATTATATTCCTTTCTTTATGTCAATGTTCTATTGAAACTATACATTAATTAGAGTTGTTGATAATGAAGCATATTATATTTCTTTTTTTATGTCAATATTCTATTAAAACTGGATATTAATTAGATATGTTAAGAATAATGTATGTTATATTATTTCTTATATGAAAAAAAACACACACTCATAAAAACTAAGGTATGTAAGACACATTAGTTCCAAGTCATTTGACAAACACTTATATATTAATTTTATAAACATATGTGATCTTTTATTTTTTATATAATAGATAATAGTACAATAGTATAGTACAAATACACTTAAACAAAAAAAAGAGAGCTAGAACTTAAAAGTATAACAATCATTTTTTCTTAAAAGGATTTAACAGATTTTTTACTGGTGGTTTGTGTTGATTACCATTAGAGGTTAAACCTTTTGATGATTTGTGATTTACAATAACTCAGCTTTGAAGCAATTATTCAAAGTAAAAAAAAAAATTATTTTATCTTTAGATAATCTTTATAGAAACTCTAAACAACACTAGATCTATCTAATGAGATTCTTGGAACTTCCAGAAAAGTATAAATTTACCGTTTTCAATGCATGTGTGCATTTTAGAAAACCTAAAAGCATATACATTCACTCTCCTTATTTTGCACATAATCTTTTTTTTTATTTACATTTATTAACTTAAGTATTAAATGATCTGCTATTTGAATACGATACTTTTTTTTTTAGATGAGCCACTATTTAGCTCCAATTCAATCACTTTTCTTAATCCATCCTAAAACATAAAAAGACTAAATTTAATATCAATTTTTCCAAACATCATCACCATTCCTTTAAGAATTTCAACTTAAACATTATAGTATAAATTATCAAATTTCAATTCTTTTATTTTATGGGAGAGATTGTGTATGATAAACAAGGTTGTAACCTTGTGTTTAAAATTAATTAACAATTATATATATATACATGCATGTAACATATAAGGATTTTTCTTTTTTATTTCAACGACAAGATCAACATTAAATAAAAAATTTTCATCACCACAAATACAATCATGCCAATTTTGAGCCTAGCCATACATGTAATTTTACTTTGTATGTGATCACTTAGAAAAATTCAATCATGCCAAGCTTAATGGATTTAAAAAATAAAAAAATTAAATATATTAAAAAATAATATAAATTATATCTTAGAATTTTACCTAATAATTTAAGTTATTAGATTGAGATGATTCTTTGACATGATATCAAAAACTTGATAACCATATGATCACAAGTTCAAATCTCACTATACTTATTTATTTGATAAAAATCAAACACATAATAACATGAATTTATTCTCATTTAACAGTTTAAATTATTAAATTAATATGGTTCTTTAACAAAATAAAATGATACTTTCTTTCTTGTTTCTTGAAGCGTCATCTTGTAATTGATTATTATGTTTTTAATTATTGTTTTATTGATTAAGGTTACAAAAAATGCCTATAAATTGATAACAAAAGACAAGTTACCAAAATCATCACCCAGTTTCATGGCATACAAAGTTGGTGCTGTAAAAGTAAAGTAAAAAAAAAAAAATCTTGCAAAATCTACTATAAAGTCACCGGGGTTTATCCAGAACCCTGAGAAAGATGCACGGGCAGTAAAAGTTTTACCTTTTTTTTTTTTTTAATGTCATGCTAGCTAGTGATGGCTGTAAATTTTGGCCTCATTATGCCACTGACATTCATTGCGCTGTAAGCAAAATTGATCTGTACTTCAGACACTGTGTAAGCATTTCCTCATCCCAAATGAGTGCTACGGAACTCTTAACAAACTTCGCAAGTACCACCAGCCGAAAAACAGAATGGCTATTTGACAAAAAAAAAAAGGGGATAAATTTGTATATAAAATTAAAAAAATAAATGAAATAACATGGTAGCAAAATAAAAAATGAAATAATATATTTTTACTTGTAAAGGTTGAAAATCATGATATTTATTAAATATTTTATTTTTAAATTATAATAATTAAATAATTAATTAATGTAGTGGTTGAGAAATATAATTTTAATTAATGTTACAGTTGCAACTTTTTATTAATTGTCGCATCTTCTATTTGAATGGGGTTTGGTGGAAGGTGCTGCTTTTTATTTAATTTGTACTCATTTTTTTTTTTTTATCAAAGCTTGTTATGAAAGCTTTTTTAATGCAGCCACAAAAATAAAAATAAATATATATATATATAGAAAATAATATAAAAAAAAACAAAAAAAATAATATATATATATATATATAGAAAATCATTTAATAGATGATTTAGTAGTAAGATTTTAAAATTAATTTTTTTTATAATTTTAAGTTTGAGATATGTAATTGTCACCTGTTGTATCAATAATATGTATAGAAAATCATTTAATAGGTGGTCCAGTAATAAAATATTAAAATCATAAAAATTTAATTTTTATGATTTTAAATTTGAGTCATTTAGTTATCACGTGTTGTATCAACAATATATATAAAAAATTATTTAATAAGTGGTCTAGTAGTAAAATTTTTGAATTACAAGATTTTAATTTTATTTTTTTTATGATTTTAAGTTCGATACATATGGTTATTAATATTAATAATTACTAAAATTTTATTTAATTATTAACATTATTATTTATAAAAATTAATTAAAATATATATAAGTTAACCCAAATATCTATATAAATTAAAAAAAAATATGAATGAAAAGTCAAGATATTTTAATGAAGCCACCTTTTCTGTAAAACTTCTTGTGGTCTCTTTAAACACAATTCAAGAGAGAGGGAGGGGAGTCATATATATATATATATGCATGCATGAATGTATATGTGAAGCGACACGAGTATCTTTCATGTTTGAGAATAACTATATTAAATAAAGGTCATGTTTTTTAAATATGATAATATAAAAATATGTTATTTTATCAAAAAAAATTTAAAATGTTGTTATCATGCAATTTTTTTAAATAACAATGCTAATATTTTTTTTTAAAAAAATAATCCATAAAACACCGGGAAGAACAGAATGCCCAGATCCTGCACTCTATCAAGGAATAGAGGTACCGTACTTTTTCTTTGTTTTAAGAGGGTATAGCGAGTGATCTCATCTCCAGAATAAAGATCGGTCTAAAACTAAATGATTGTGTAAGCTGGTTGTATTATATATGCGGTGGTGATTGATTGTAGAAATCTATTTTTTCTAGAAATATTGTGTTCATGTGTGCAAGGGGAAGGAAGGAACTGATGAGGCTGGTGGAGCACATTCTGGAAAGCAGATTTGATGCATCCGAAAATTGAGAAATTAGCAGATAATAAGAAGAAAGGAAAAGAGAGAAAATCTCTTCTGGTTTGAGTTTTGAAGTGCTCTCCTACGGTTTTTTCCAATTTTGTAAGACTTCGTGAAGTCAGATAACTATGATTTTCATCTTGAATGCTGCTAATGAGTTGACATGAAAATAACACTATTTGATTCAAACATGGCCATGAGCAATCACAATTTCAAAGCATCTTATGAGTATTAAATTTTTAGCTTAATGTGAAAGAATCGGAATTCCCATTTTGTGGAAGATATGATACAATCATGTAAGATTACTCATGATTGTTTACTGCAATCAGGAACTATCCCCTGCACATGCAGTAACAATCAGCATGGTTCCCTCTCTCGTGCACTCAAAACCTGTTCTACCTGATACAACGCAGTGGAAAATTTGAAAACAGGACACAATGCATACCATTCTTTCACCAAATCCACAAAAGATATTTCCATTGGAGATCAGATAATCAAACAGTACCAGTTTCCAGAGTCTTTATTGACCAGTGAAACTTTACATTCATCTGATCCAAAATGTATTGTGGCCCGATATGGAAGAACAGTCTGAATCATGCTTATTCACCTCTTGTCTGTCACATGTGTTGCCTGTACACGGGCATTTAAATGAGTTGAATTTGCATCTGTTATGACTACTACATTGTTAGAAAAGAAGATGACTCTGTGCTGTAAATGCTGGGGTAAAAATCCCCATGCTCTACCATCAGTTTCTATACATGGTCTGTGGATGAATACTTCGCAGCTCAATCTGGAAGGAAAGAGTAGTGATGTAGAACTTTAGGTCTGCATATTAACCCCTCAATGCTAGATCAAGGACTAATTTCATAGCCCAGCCAGATGAAAAGCAAGATCAGGTTATCAATTATGACTTGGGAAAGCTCGGTAATGTTTAGCTAGCAATCTGTCTTGTGAAGTGATATTTCTTTCCAAGAAAGAATAAGACTGCTAACAATTAAATGTAAACCACTCCAAATTTTAAGCATAATTAAATGTTTCCTCTTCCAAATTTTCAAGAACACATTTTCATAAGAAGTTATTGGCATCATCGAGTTAAAATGGAAAAACAAGGAATGAACAAGGATTGGGAAATTTATCTACACTCTGTGTTTCCAGAAGTTCAAAAATATAAAGAATGTCGCATTGTATCAGTTGTCTAGAAATCTTGCCTTTCTGAAGTTTAATGCAAAGAAATTTAAATGAAATTATTTCTCGAAACTTGTTGCACATACAAATGGAAATTTTATTTCTTACCCTTTCCTTCTTTTCGGACTTAAAATAAAGTCGTCATCGTCACTGTCATTGCTGATTTTCCTCTTGGCTTTAAGGTCTCCATTCTTTGATGACTGTTGCTGCTTTTGAGAACTCTCAGGTTTACTAGTGGATGGTTTGGTAGATTTAATGGGAGTTCCAAATCGTTGCATTTTTTGCTTTCTCTGTTTCTTCTCATATGCCTTTTTGGCTCTCTCTGGGGATAGCAAGCCATGTTCCATCATCCTGCAGACTGAATTTTGTCACGCCTCTCAAACGAATTACAGCTGAATTTATTAGTTGTTAGTGAAAATGAAATGAACTTCGCGGTAGCATGAGATATCTAACGCAAGATATCCAGCCAAGGTGGAAACGAAGATCATTTTAGTATAATTGTGTTCTTTGTATGTGTAAGATGCTTTGTTACCCCACATGTCTAGATTTTCTTTGAAGCCATTGACATCTTTTCTTGGTCGTATTTTTCCTCAAAAAAAGGAAGTCCAAGAAATCATCGCAAAGGAAAGTAGAATACTCATGGAGTAACATAGACAAAATCGATACGAGAGAGGATAACATTACCAGAAGTCTAAGAAACAAACTATTCCCTTGACAGGAGTTACCACAAGGAAAGAAAGTAAGTTCGAATGCTTTACTCACCGTGTGCAGTTGAAATATTGGAAGAAGCAGGATTAGGCAAGTCGCCTTTTAGCATTTAGGTTACCAGTCATTTTTGACATATTTCAGTTTATTGCCAGCAGACTTCCATTCAAAGAGGGGATTACAAGCTCATGGGTTCAGAATTTCCAGCGAGGTATTACAATCCAGTATAGCAATGTAGGTTTCTAATACATCTAAACACTTTATTGCACACATTTATTAACTGTATTGACATAGAAATGCTTTCTTTGAAGGACATCACCAGCCTTTAATTAGCTGGGAGTCAAAGTTACGAAGAATATTGTAGGAAATCAAAATACCTTGACACAGTACTCCTTTTTATTGATTCAAGACCTTGCACTAACAGTGCATACGCATTTATTTGTTTAAAACCTAAGCTGTAACTCAGCTCCTCCACACAAGTATTTTTAAACCGCACAGGGAAATAGTGCTGCCTTAATCACTAGACAAACCTAAAACAAGGCCAAGCCCCTATAGTTACAGAAGCTCTAACCAACCAATAGCAAGTCCAACCTTTACTAGGAAACCAATTTTAACGAGGATTACTAACAAGTACTCCTATGTCAAGTAGGAAACCAACTCCTGCTAGGAGATCAAATCATGAGGACATAAGGATTGATTTAATTCCAACAATAATGAACTTGCATTACAGCACGAGTGTGCAATTAATCAGACTCCATTGCATACTTGGTTTGCTAAAGGATTCGAAAGTAAAACCAATCAGATTTGGATATAATATCCAGCCCCAACTCCATGCCTAAAATGTTCCAAGTCTTCTGACGTGTGTATTCCTATGGATGGCTAAGAGTCCAGAGCTTCTATATTGTACAATGGTAACAAAGAAAAAAGGGACACAGGGCCACACGAATTCTCAAGAACCAAACGTAAAAAAATTTAATCCATGCAAAGTTTAATGCTATCATTAAAAGGGATTCCTATGTGCTAATATGCATGCCAACTCAATGTTGCGTAATCCCAACAAATTAACTGAACAACCAAGGTCCTATGAACACTTTCACCAAAGACGAGAACTGCTTGCTTAAGACGAATAGAGGAACCAGAACGGGATGGCTAAAAATCCCAACGAAACTGAGCAATACAACAAAAGATCGCAATGAGCACCAGGGTCAAGCTCAGGCCTCACTCCAACTTCGGGCAAGCACAAAATTAGAACAGCAACGGGATTTTAAGAAATTCATTTGGAATCAAGTGGTTGATGAGGGGAAACTCACCAAAATTCTGCCATTTCACTAGTTGGAATCTGTTTAGACAAAGACTCGTAGAATATCCTAAGTGGTTCTCTCTGTCGAAAGAAATCGGCAGCAAACATAAGAATTGAAGACACTTTCCACATAAAAATTATAATCAAATTATCCAAACCAACAGCTCAAAAATAAAAAATTTCAAAGCCAAACCTCTTCAGGAGGATCATATCTCTGGCCTGGCAAGGAGTATACTTTCTTCTGTCTCACTCTAGTGGTAGTGGTTGTCGTCGTAGTTTTTGACGAACTCGGTGCTGATTTTGATTTTACCTTGGGATTCAAACAAAATAGTAAACAGAACAAAAGATGAGATATCAGAACCAAACCGATCAAGAACCCAGGAAAAACTAATATCCCAAAAACTAACCAATTCACTGCAGATTAATAAAAAAAACAACACAGAAAACACCATATTCACATAAATCAATCCATTTCAGTTTCTACACAATCAAATAACTAGATCAAGCAATAAAACCATATCATTCAATTAACTGAAAACATCCTTAAGAACCTCAAAACGCACATTCCACATTCCATTACATCAAAAGTAAACCAGCGAAAACCCAGATGCAAAAGCTCACCAAATTGTGAAACCAATAATAAAAATAGCCACTTCATGATAACAACATAGCAGAAATGAAAATCTCAATGAAGACACAATAAAAGATAAAAAATGAAAACAATTCGAGAGATGGGGTAGCATAATTACCTCAGTTTGAGTTACAACTGAGATAGATTTATCCTTTGAATCAACAACAGATTGTTGTTGTTGTGTGTTTGAGCTCTCAATTTTCTTAGCTTTCATCGAAGATTCAATCTTTCCTTTGGAACCATCAAAATTACCACTGCTTGGCTTCACTTTCACCACGCTTTGCTTGCTTTCTGTAGCCATTTCTATCTATCTGTCAATCAATCACTACTTCTTCTTTATCCTTTTTTTGGTCTTTGATTTCGATCTTAACAATCAAGAACCTTTGGAACTCAGAATTAGCATAAAAAGAAAATTACAAATCAAAGACAAAATTAGGTAGATAAAGAAAAACGTGTGAAGTTTGCCGTTTATTGCCTTTTTATGAAACTGTTTTTTTTTTGTTCTTTAAGGTTGTTCTGTAGATAAAGTAAACCGAATTTATGCATTTGTCCCTGATGATTATGACGTGGATGAGATTAATGGATGGCTGTGAAGGTTAAAATAGTCATTCAAAAAGTCGCCGGTTTATTGGAAAGGTTATGGTACGGGTGATGTCATTGTAAGAGTGAACGGTAATTTGGAATGTTATCAAAACGGTGTCATACTGGGAAGAAAGATGTGATCCGACGGTTATCAAACGGAGAGCTCACATATTTATTGCGAGAGTGTTTGCTTTAGAGTTTTATTGATGTTAGAGGTAATAATATTTTTACACTGATTTTCACGTCAGTACAGTTACAACACGTGCTTCACTTTCAATCGTAGATTCTATTCAAGAAATTACAAATTAAAAAAGAAATTACTGGGTTTATTTATTTAATTTTTCTTCAAGGCATATGTGAATTGAGTTTTCATGCACTGTGATTCAATTTATACCCAGCAAAATGAAATTTTGAAAACCATAAGCTTTATGAGCTAGCCGTCAAGAATAAATTAAAATCAATTAATATAAGAAAATGAGTTAAAAATATAATTATAGCTTTTTAATAACTAAAAACTCTATCTCATACTCTTCAAATGCAAATGCCGCCAAGATTTTTCATATTGGATGATTTTTGGTCAGCATTTAAACCTATAAATTTCATCTTTTTTTTTTCTTTTTTTATCATGGTGTGTCTACAAGCATTCATTCTTTTCGTGAGACCTGTAAAATATGCAAGAAAAAAGCATGTACTTTATTTTGTTTATTATTGTAGATAAGAAGATTTTCATCTCATGAGTGTGTTTCTTTGCCACTACTAGCATGCATTAAACCATGATTATGCTGGAAAGCTTTAAGAGATGTTAAGGGACAAATTCACCAGGTTAAAATCGGATGCAAACAAGCTTCAACATGCCTGTTCTTCATCATTTAGGTAAGTTCAGCCTGATATCATACAGGACCTTTTAATTCTCCAAGCTTAGGTATTAATATGAGTGAAAACTGGCTGTAACTGTCCTTGATGATGTTGCTGAGACTACAAATTTGCCTCTATGGAAAGATATGGAAACACTGTTCCAATCAGAGGAGGGATAGGGCATGGAAGCAGCAAGGTATCGTGTGCAGAAATAGAGATTTTAGGATCCTCAAGCCTAGAGTAATGAGCTGAAACAATGGCTGCCTACGGATGAATTCTGGATTGAATAGAAAAAGAAGAAGAAAGAAACCAGTTCAGATAATTTAAATACCAATCAGTGAGACTTGAGCAGGTATTCGAATAATTCTATTGTACCAAACTGAGTGAAGAATCATATGAAAAACTTTTTTGGCTCAGTATGCCAAAGAAAATGTTGTTGTATTTAAAATAATTATTTATCATAAATTAAAGGCATTTTATATCATTAGATATATTATTATAAAACATGTTTTAGTTAAGGAGTTATTGATACTTCAAGTGCAAAATAATGACATAAAACCTTGATAAAAATACACTTTTAAGTACTAATCACACCCCCCAACCAGCTTATTAGTAGTCCCTAGTAATCAAAGCATTAAAATAGAAAAATAATTTGCAAATTTCATAAAGTAAGGTATTCATCATTCAACTTCTATAAATCTATCCAGATAAACAAACTCTCATTAAATTTATATATCTATTCAATACCTCTTAAACAAGATATTAATAAACCTTTTTTTTTGTCCTTAATATATCAACACATAGTTATGGGGCTTTACTTGGAAGAAAATAAAATTCTTATTCTAATGTTTAAGGCTAACTTCCTTGAGTTGAGATTTTTTTTCTTCTTTTTTTTTTGTTTTTTTTAAATATTTATACATATAACTTAAAACACAATACATCTTTAACTCGTGTAACGAGCTTTTAACTAATGACTTTTAGACTAGTTAGTCTTAGGGCATTAGGTGTTGAGAAAACCCCTATAAGCTTAGTAACTCGGGTTGCAGATGTTGATACATAGATAGTGCAATGTTTGATTCTCTTAAGCTTTTCTCCTCCACCCATGTAACAAACGTTGGGCCAATAACTCCCAAGTCAGTTGACTTTAGGGTATTAGATGTTAAGACACCCCTTCGAGCTTAATTGCTTAGGTTAAAGAGGCTACGAAACCAAACTTATTTATATTTTTATTATCATCATTTTTTCCTTCTTTTCTTTTTTTTTTTCAAATTATATACTATCCATTTCCCTTAGTTGTTACCTTTAACAAAAGAACATAAATAATGTAATAATCCAATGTGCAACCCACAATCATATGTTAAACTGTGTGTGTGAAAATTAAGGTTTAAAAATACATGTTAAATGAGTATATGAGCAGAATTAAGTGTTAACAATGCGAGAGTTTGTAAACTTGAACATTTCAAAAAGTATTTGGATAAACCTTGTTATGAATATTGCAAATAACCATTGAAAAATATTAACCAAGATACGTCTCAAGAGTCAATAAAATTCCTCCTTACTCTGCCATCTTAGTAACAACAGTTTGCAAATGGTTAATGAAAAAGAAAACACAGTTAGTTTTTTTCTTTTTAATATCAACTACTAACCTCTCCCCCTAACCAAAACGAAACATTGTCCTCAATGTTCTAAGGTAGAAAGATAGAGTATAGAAGACATTACCTGAAACAACAACTACTAACAAACTTGAAACACACTTAAATCAATATAAGAAATAACAAAACACAAATATTATACTATTAATAAAACCAAAAGACATAAGCTTTTACAAACTAAGGCTCAAATCGTAGTTGTGATTGTGGCTCATATCTTTCCTTGGTTTTACATCCAAAAACGACTTAAACGCCATCTATAAGTCGAGGATAGGCTTCCCATCTAGTTTTCTTAAAAACCAGCAAACAAGGTCTTTTTTAATTAGATTCTCAAGACTATGTCGAGCATGTTTTTTATAGAATAGTGACCAGAAATCATGAATTGCACGATGCACATCTCCACTAAGATGCGTCTCAAGAGTCAATAGAAGATTATTTAAAGACTTCTTACTCAGGTCATCCTTAATGAATGTATTTTATCTTCGTGGTTTATAGATATCATTCCTAGAGAATGACATTGTACATTACAAGTCCATCTGGCACATCGATGATAGACTTTCAGTCGTTTTGCACGACGTTTCTTTGCAAAAGTGCTTTTACCTATTACAGGCATGTATGAAATAAAAGAACTTGAATATTCACCTGATAATCAGACATTTACTTCAATTAGCCAGCGAATCTCTTCAGGAATTTCATGGTTCATTAATAACCTCAATCTTGCACATTTAGCACAGTAAATTTTTGTAATCGCATTCTAAGGCAAAACGGGAAAATACTTTTTCAATTTTTCAAGAGTGGTGTCCATTTTCAAATGATAATTGAAAGAAAGATTCAAAGAATTGCACAAATATATATACAGATATCAATTATTATAAGAAACTAAAAGAATAGACTTAAATCACGGAGTACCATTATCCGCCATTTAACCGAGGTGAGAGACTAGCAAACTAAAAGTCACAAACAAAAAAAAAACACAAAAACAATGTGAGAAAAAAACAAAATAATCAATATTTATCTATAAGATCATTCAAACCAATTGATTTATTTTCACTAGAAAAATTATCAAAGTAAGCTTTCAAACGATATCATTTACCTTAAAAACATTGTCATTCTTTGGATTCTTAGTATCAAACGCCCCATAAGGATACACATATTTCTCAATAAGTAGACTGCTCCATCTTCATCTTAGCTCTTTAGGGAATAAACAGAGTCGAGAATTATAAAGCAAGACTTTTTAACCAGTATTAATTTTTTGACAATTTTCACAAGTTTTGCAGAATGTATGCGTGTCCTTGAACATGGTCGACCAATAAAATCTATTTTGAAAGGTTTTTACAGTTGTCATTTTTTACAAGAAATGACTCCCACATGCTTCAAAATGACAAAGTTTAATGACACTACTTACCTTATTGTTAGGAATGCATCTTTGAGATATTTGATCAGAACAATATTTGAATAAGTTAGGGTCATCCCAATAAAGGTTCTTCACTTTGTTCAAAAATTTTCCTTTGTCTTGGGCACTCCAATAAGCTGGCAAATCTCCTGAAGCAAGAAAATTGATATTTTCATTATACCAAGACATTGGACTAAGAGAAAGTAAGGATTCGTCAGGAAAGTAATCATCGACTGGTGTGATATCAGATGTCGAATCTGTTGTCACTCTTGACAAAAGATCCACATCAACATTTTTGGTGTCTTTTTTATTTGTTATTTTTTCCCAAGAATAAATGATTTGCATATCTTCAGATTCATCAAACTCTATTTTACTCATGGTAGATTCAAATTGATCATAAACTAATTCGTCAATAAGATCTACTTCTTTTGAATCATTATCATCTTCAGGTTGTTTACAAATGTTGAAAATATTCATCTCCAATGTCATGTTTTCAAAAGATAGCTTCATCTGTCCATTCTTATAATTAATCAACGCGTCAGAAGTTGCAAGAAATGAACATCCTAAAATAACAAGAAATGAATTACATGCTTTAACAGGCTATGTGTCCAACACAATAAAATCCGCAAGATAAATGAATTTATTGACTTGTACTAACACATCTTCAATTATTCCTCAAGGCACTTTTACAAATCTATCAGCAAATAAGAGAGTTATAGAAGTTGGTTTTAACTCACCTAGATTAAGATTATGAAAAACTAAATATGAAAGTAAATTCACACTAGTTCCAAGATCAAGTAAGGCTATTTCAATTTTATGTTCTCCAATAAGAAGTTGATTTTAACTCACCTAGATTAGGATTATGAAAAACTGATTATGAAAGTAAATTCACACTAGTTCCAAGATCAAGTAAGGCTATTTCAATTTTATGTTCTCCAATAAAAAGCAAGAAATTATAGGACAACCAAGGTTTTTATATTTCAAAGCATTAATGTTCTGAAGAATGACACTTAC